GGGGGGGAAACGCCCATCTAGGGGAAGGAGGCAGGCTGACTGAGGGGGAATGAAGGGCCCAGAACATGTAGCTGCAGGTGTCTGGGGTGATGCTGCGTGTTTGCAGGGCACAAATACCTGGACCAGCTAGCCTCCCAATACTGCACCAGAACCTTTCGCCCCATAAGGTAATGATGGCCCTCTGTGTTGGTCCTGCTCCTTGTGCATACACGTGAGCTGACAACAGTGAAGTGGCACGGGGCAAACAGGCCCCTTTCCGTCCACCCACCCACCCACCCTCCCTACCAACATCCACTGCTGAAGTTGTGCATGCAACTTTGTTTCAGAAAACCAGTCAATAATTGTGGGTCCTGCCTCCGGGATAAAATAGGGTATAATGTGGAGGAGCACTTTACCGAGCTGCTGGTGCATGTGTCTGGCTTCGATGCTGTTTGAAGGGCTGGTGTAGGCTCAATGGGCTGAATGGCTTCTATCTGATTCTATGTTCTGGTATCTGTTCGTTTCAGAGGTTAAAGAGCAGCTTGACTGAGCATCAGCCGCAGTTGTACCAAGTGCTGGAAGATGGGAAGAAGCTTTTGGCGTGCATTAATTGTGCAGACCTGGAGGCTCAGATAGCCCAGCTGGGGGAGCACTGGCTATCCAGTACTACAAGAGTGAGCAAGGAGTTACATCGACTCGAAACTGTCCTGAAACACTGGAACAGGTAAAAGGGAGAACTCTCGGTGGTGGGACTAAACTGTGGCTCCCGTGTCCAAAATTCAATCTGTAGGTTTCCCAGTCTGCTCTTTCACTTCAGGCTCTCCTCCCACATTCTGCAGCCACTGCTGAAGTGTAAGGGATGCTGCAGCCAGTTTGTGCACAGCAAGATCCCACACACAGCAATGTGACAACGACCAGATCGCCTGATTTGGTGATGTTAGTTGAAGGGTAGATATGGTGAATACTGCCATAATCATTCCCAAAAGTGCCATTGAATCTTGCAGGTCTACTTGAGTGGGCAGGTGAGCCCTCGGTTTTAACATTCCATCAGAAACATGAGACCTCCCGCATTCCAGCCTGGACGGTGTGCTCAAGCATCTGAAATGAAGCTTAGAGCTCCTTACTGCTGCATTTCACTGAGACTAGCTCTAAGTCTGAGCCTGAAAAGTAACCTTTGTGCTTCTGCTTACCCTCTTCCTTATTGCAAGGTGAATCCTTAGCACCCATTGAGGGTAAGATCCCTCTGGTAGACTGCTACCCCCCATCCTCTTTCCTTGTAGGCCTGGTGTGGTAAAGGAGAGCCACTTGGTAATCTAATGAGAGAAAGCCTTTGTTTTAAACAAGATGCAGTTTATTGCATGGCAGCAGCTAGATACAAGTTACATTAATGTAATTAGCCATGAATAAAGCGAGGGCATAGATTGAAAGTGATTTGCAATAGAAGGAAGGATGAAATGAGGAAAAACATTTTCAGACTGAGGGCCTGGAATGCTCTGCCTGGAAGTGTGGTGGAGGCATCCAAGAGAGCATTGGATGAGTATTTGGACAGAAATAATGTACAAGAGGTGTGTTGGTTTAGCTCAGCTGGCTGGAAGGTTGGTCTGTGAAGCAGTGTGAAACCAACAGGGTCGGTTCAATTCCCAAAACCGGCTGAGGTTACCCTGTAGGACTCTCCTTCTCAACCTCTCCCCTACCTGAGGTGTGGTGGCCCTCAGGTTAAACTACCACCAGATATCTCTCTGTAATGAGAGAGCAGCCTTATGATCTGGTAAGACTATGGCGATTTGACCTGAATGTGTAAGAGAATGGGGGAGAAAGCAGGAGATTGGACGCAGGCAGTGAGGTTCTTTGGTGAACTGGTACAGTGGAACTGTAGGCTGAATGGGCTCTTTCTGCATCTTAATATTTCTGTGATCATTGCAGAGGATACGAAGAAGACCCAGATGATGTGTTTCACTCCTTAGAGACCGTAAGCTGTTCTCCCATCAATCAGATCCTTGTACAACAATCTCCATGAAGATTGACTCAGGAATGGCTTAACAGTGTCACCTAAAGTGGTCACTTTTCAGTTGTGTGTTTGGAGCTTGAAGCCCAACAGACTGTTTGTTTGGCTATGGCGACATCACAGCAGTTACTGACCCTGTCCTCAAATGAAATACCCAAGGTCAAGCTCACTTTGCAGAAGGGGTGACTGGATAGTGAGCAAGAACAGGTGCCCTGTCTCACTGAGGCCACTTACCAGCCCAAAAGCCACAGAGACTCGGGACTGCTGTAATAGCACGTACCCCGTCGGATTATCTTTTACCAACTGTTTGATAAGGGATGATGGAAAGTGTTCTCCCTGAAGAGACAGTCGGATCCCATTTCACCGAGGTGATTTACATCTTCGAGATTATTATGGAAAGAGTTGATAACAGCTTGCAGAAGATAATTCTTTCATAAAACCACTTTGTTCACTTACATTTGTTTTGCCTGGCCTTTAAAGCTAAGGAGAGCGCATGCAGCTTTGTTTAATTTCCAACATTGTGAGTCTCATACAGGTCAGCTAATGACCACTTTACTCTTAAACTGTTCATTTTGATGTAAATTATATCCGACTGGTTCTTCACTTTTTTTAAATAGGGCTTTCGGAATTTAAAATCTGCTTCTACATGGTGGAAATCTGGTCAAGTTTTCAGAGATAGTAGGAAC